GGTGAAACTGGTTGGATTATCCTTGTTGGTTAATGTCTGAGAGCCAGAGGCCATGTTCTTTGTGGCTGCCTCTAAAAGAACCTCAAGTACTCATTGCTCTACACAGCAGCTGCTGAGAGGTCTCAAGTCATCAGCTGTGTAAGGAAGCAATGGTACCACAGCTGAATCATCCTCCTCCTCACAATGAGATGCTGTCCTGAAATCCTGAAGGAACTTTCTGTTTGGTGACTGATCTTATGTGGCCCAATAAGTGGAAGAAGCATCTTTTTACCTCTCGGTGAAGATCAATATGAGCCCCTGAAGGCCATCTGCCCAGACCATGGCCTTTTCCCCAGCTGGGACAGAAAAAAGCAATTCAAACTACAGATGCTACCTAGGCAGATACTTCTTTCATTTTCAGGTGGAAAATGTATTTGTTGCTAGTATTCTTGCTCTGGCAGAGGGGACAGGAGGAATGACATAGACATGACACATGTGCACGTGTGCGTGTGTACACACACACACACACTATGAGCAACTGCTACAGGGGAGGAGGAGCTGCAGAAACTAGAAGGAAGGGAAAACACCGGTGAGGGAGGAAGAGGTGCTGGTAAAAGTGTAAGATGGGGGCAACGTTGGCTGCTGTTGCTGTGTGAGGGGGGGAGAGAACGTGATGCTGGAGGATGGGCAGACAACCCCAAAAAAACAGTTGAAAAGAATGCACTGTCCTCCCCTCCCACCCCTCCTGTGACCACCCCACTCGGACGACAGCCACGTGCCTCCCCCAAGCGCTCGGGAGCTGCCCAGGGCCCTGGCTGGCGTGGGGTGCTGGACTGAGATGAGCTAGAGGTTGGGCCCAGGGTGGGCACCTCTCGCTGGAGGCAGCAAAACAGCTGCTAGGCAAGGAGTCCCCACAGGACATGCAAAACCCATGGGGATTTTGAGCTTTTTCTTTTGGGAGGTGGGAAACCCTAGCTGTACTTACGTACAGGGGCTGGAATAGGCAGGCGTGCCCTGAGATGAGATGTATGCCTGGCATCTCGCTGCCTGGTCCTGGGCATCTTCTCTCCTGACACTATCTCACCAATAGCCACTGCCTTCCTAGCAGTGCAAAAATGATGAAGGAGCACAGCGTGGTGGGACACAGCGTTATGCATGGGGCTGACAAATGAGGTGGAAAAAGACAGCTAGAAAAATCTTGCCAAGCACACCACAGGGTCAGTGTTTCCGAGAATGACTTGTCATTTAAACCCTGGAATGCTTTGGGGCTGCCCTGGGCACGCAGACAGAGAATGTGGCATTGGGGTGCAGAGCAGTGCAGCTGAAAACACAAACTGCACAAGCTCGCTTAGTAAATCTGAAACCAAGAGGAAGTAAAAAAGAGCACACCAAACCTTAAAAAAACCACCCAACTTTGCTTCAGAAATCAAAGGTATATTTTTTCATAAATGTGCATGCTTTTAACCTGCTGTAGGTGACATTTAAGCCCCACTTTTCACCTTTTTTCTAAACAAGAAATTAGATTATTGTGATGATTAGAACCGTGAAGACATTCAAGACTTAGGATGGCTTGTTTTTAATGAAAGATAGATAACATCAAAGCTGAGACCTCTGTATTTAAATCACAAGGTCTGATCACACTGCTACTGCCTAGTCCCTAGAGGTGTCACCTCCCATCATCTCCTGAGGGCCCTGTGGAAGAGGACTTCCATTGTGGGCACCTTGGCAAGTAAGCTCTACAGGCTGCCCGTGCTTTTAGCATCATAGGGTCCCAAAGAAAGCCTCTGTCTGAATAAATACTGAGATTTGTCTTGCACCTCTAGGTTCACTAGGCAACTGAAGAGGTGTAGAGGGTTCCTCAGTGCCCTGTGGTCAGGTCTGGCAGCACACGTGCAGCAGCTGGCAGGGACCAGTGCCCAGTGCGCCCAGACCGTCCAGCTCTCCAGATGTTTCTGTCTCGCTTACCTCTCTGCTGGTGAAGAACCAAGGGTGCACACGGGGGTGCTGGCTAGCGATCACTGTCACTCCAGAGGTCTCGATCCAGGCACCAAAACCGCAAGCAGCTTGAATCAAAACAGAGCCAGCTGGGTTCTTTGGCTACTTGTTCATCCAAATCACAGCCGTCCCCTACTGCGCCATCACTGGTTCTATGTCTGTCATGCTGTAGTTCATCTCCCCTCCTTTCTCACTTCCTGATGCACTGCTGTCTGGCCACAAAGCATGAACTTTGCTATCCAAAGCTGATAAGCTAAAACACATCCTATGAAAGCAAACGTAATCATGAAAGAAGCAACACCCAGGTGTCCTTGCAACTGAGGAGACCTGCCCTGGGTCATAGTGCCAAATACTTGCTCGTCTTTGCTCCCATGCTAACTCAGCCGCCCCCAGGACTGACAGGGGAAAAATAAAACATCCCCCTCCCCAAAATATTGCCAAACAGGAGGTAGAAGTGAAATATGGGAAGTGAGAGCAAAGTTGATTTAATCACTAGCCAGTGCAAAGGCTCAGAGTCCTGTCAATCCCATGGGCTTGGGTGCTTTGAGGACGAGCTCCTGCCCAGGGGCCCAGCTGTGCACTGTTGGCATGCGTCAGGGACCCCAAAAAGAACCGAGGTCTGAAGAGGTGTCAGTGCCCGTGGCAGGCAAAGGCATGTTTGCCACAGATGTTGGTCCCTGTCATTCAAGGCTACAGGAGGCACAGTGCTAAGAAAGTGCAAGGGCTGATTTAGCAGGACATCTGTGACCTAGCACTGCCAAGTATAGCTGGGAAGGGATCTGCCCTTCTGCAGAGCCCATCTGGCACTCTGTTGTCTCAAGTCCTATTTCTGCTTTGCCAGTCCCAGCACACCTGGAAGAAGACACGGGTCATGGGGACACTAATCCTACCGTCATCCTTCCCCAGGAGCAGCTGCCCCACGAAGAAGGTGCCATGCCTGTGGGCTCCCTCTTTCTCTGCAGCCCCTGCCCGGCTCCTCTGCCTGCTGGCTGTTGCTGTTGGTGTTTGACTTTCTCACTCCCTGCCTCCCTTGTTCTGCCATCACTGCCTCCTCATTCAGGGAGTGACATGCCGAGGGATATATGTTCCTGCTGCTCATAAATCCTTGGAGGGTACAATAGCACCCTAACCACTGATCTCACCCTGCTCCTTTTTAGTGCCTCTCTTTTTTAACCAGACCCCCTTTCTCACTTCCTAGTTGCTGGGATCTTTGTTCTCACAGCTTTTTGTGTCTCTTCAGTTCCTGTCAAGACTCTGGTAATGATAAAGGCTTGCAGATCTGCTGGGAGGGATTTCCTTCTCCCTTTGCAAAAGGAGTCTCTGACACCCTCTGTGGGAACTTTCCCCTCCCCTGCGGCCCTCGCCCCCCGCACACATGTGCACACACTTGGCTGAGCCTTTAGTCCTGGCTTTACCATGTGTGTCAGAAGAGGAGGACACGGTGGCTCTTAGCCTAGCCCACGAGCCTGCCCTGCCCCACAGCATCCCTCACCCAGCCAGGTTCACTCACCTCACTGGGTCTCGGTGCGTCAGCCCACGGTCTCCATCTCCCCCCGCCCAAGTGGGCTCGCACCTTTGCCCCTCACTGTCTCTTGGAGGCTCAGTTCGTGGGGAAGAGCAGCAGAAACCCCGGCATTTCCTCACTGCTGTCTGAGTCGACAGCAGGTAAGACCAGATTACTGGGGTGTGTATCGTAGGCTACACCCTGATGCTGCAGATCCCAACATGCCTGCCGCCCCGGAGTGCTGAATCCAGAAAGCAGGAGCAAGGACCCAACAGAATGAGGGACGCAGGGAGCTGGGAAGGCAAGGACAGAGGTGGAAAGCATGCTACAACAGAGGGGCTGCTCAGGATTGGAAGGATGACTGATAAACCCCAGTGCTCTTCAGACCTCTTTGTGCAGGGAAATGTGGAAGAGCACAGCAAAGGGGTTAACCCGCATGTGGGGCCATGATGGAAGAACGATAGCAGGGCCAGAGCAGCCGCGTTTCACTTTCTGAATGATTCAGATAGGGAAAACAGAAACCTCCGGGCTGCATGAGGAGTTTCACCTTCCAGGGTGGTCAGGACAGTTGGCCCATCCCAGACCTGCTGGAGGAACGGCAGGCTTTTCTCCCAGGACATTTCAGCTCCCTGGACAGAAACTCCCAGGGGCTCTTAGGAAAGGGCTACCCACTGAGAAAAGGGGCAGCCACACCATTATGCCTGCTTAGGAGAAGGGCAAGGACTGTCCCTCTTGCCATGGGGAAGAAAACGAAGAGGGAAAAGGGAGAGCTGCCAAAGAGCCAGGAAGCAGCCGGGCTGTGTCTGTTTGCCGTAGCTATGTGGGCTGCAGAGTAGAAAAGAAGAATCTCCAGCCTGGAGGAGGCAGAGGAGGGAGGGTTCTCAAGGACGGCGGCTGGGGGTGAGTGAGGCAGCAGGTCTTCCCCTCTCTGCTCCCATGAGCTGTCACTGCAAGGAAACTTCCCGGCTCCCCAAAGGACTTGGTGACAAAGTGATGACGAGCTGGTGGGTCTAGCAACAGCTGCTTGGTACTGCCAGGTTTTTCTTGCGTGGAAGGCTCTGTCTGCTGCTGACTGGGTCTTGGGCTACTGCCTGCTGATGAAGTGACTTGACTGCAGAGGAAGACAACCAGATCGTCTGCTGATGGGACGGCAGAGACCGGGGGGTCTGACACTGATGCTGTCCCCAGCCATGTGAACTCCCTCCGACGGATGCCCACCCCAGAGCCCTAGTTCAGAGCTCTCCCATGATGCTGCCTGAGCTGTAGGTAGGGGACAGCACCCACGTGGACACCCTTGCAGGGCCAACCTGCCAGGTTTCTGCGGGCCACTGGGTCTCCGATGCTGGCAGGCACACCAGGACAGCCCGTGGTCATTGCCCAGGGCAGGGGCTACCCGTGCTTTGCAGTGCTGGGCCGGAGCTGCTGTGAGAGCGACTGTCGGGCAGAGTCAGTGGGAGGTCGCAGGAGGGGATTCAGGCGGCTGCTGCACCGTGGCTGAAGGTGAAGTTTTGCCAGGGACAGGATGGAGATGGTGTGGCTGTACGTGGTGCTGATCCCCGTGCAGCACGTCCTCGCCGTGACCTGGCTGTAAGTATGCTTTGCACTTGCACTGTCTGGATTGGAAAGTCACCTGGGGAGGTGCTGTCTCCCAAGAAAACAGGCAGATCTGTGAGAAAAGGGTGGAAGAAGGAACCTTCCTTCTGAGGGCAGCCCAAAAGCAGCACATTAGGAGGGGCATCTCTGGGAGCATGAAGGGAGAGGGTCAGTGAAGCTGAAGAGGCGCAGACCAGGAATGTCCAATTCAACACAGACAAGAGGCGGCACATCCTCTTCCCTGCCCCATTTCTGCTCTAAAAATAAGGCTACAGAGAGCTAGTCCCCCGCAGACATGGCCCTGGCTCTAGCCCATCTGCGACTGAATCTCTCCCCTGCCCAACAGGTACCTGGCCAAGCAGCCTTCACTGCGGGTGGTCCTCCGGGACCCCGGTGGCTGTGAAGGTCTGATGGGGCTGGTAGAAGAGCAGGTCCACATTTGCCAGCGGCAAATGGAAGTCATGGATGCGGTGAAGCGAGGTGCGGAGCTGGCTGTCGAGGAGTGCCAGCACCAGTTTCACTCTCGCCGGTGGAACTGCTCGACCCTGCAGGGGCTGCAGATCTTCGGCAAGGTCACCATCCAAGGTCAGTGAGGGGGAGGCGGCACAGGCAGAGCTGGCATGGGGTCCCTTCAGTATGCCCATGGGGTCCCCTTGACACATCAGCCTTTCCTGAGCTAGTGTGCAAGTGTCACATTGGCCCAGCCCTAGAGTGGCCAGTGCCTTCCTCCACATGCTTATGTAGATGTCAACAGCAAACTGAACCAAATGTAACTTGCTGTTACAAATATTAATATTCTGGCTAAACTTTTTCCTCATTCAGCCAGACTTGGCTTTTCAGTCCCATTTGGACCTTTCTGGGTACCAGCTCTGCAGACTGGTACATCTTCTCCCCTACCCTGCCACCAGCCCAGCCCTTTGGAGTAGCAGCTCAAATCAAACCTTTTTCTCTGAAGCTGCAGTCCCTTTTTGTTGCAGGCCAGGCAAAAAGGATCTGCCTATGCCCCCAAAACAGCACGGAACAGATTTTGCATGTGTTTGCGCAGGAGGAGCCATATAGGGAGCTATGAGCGGGGTCTCTCTGGCTCCTAGAGACAAGGTGGCAGGGTCCTCCCTGAAAAACTGCTATGCATGGGAGGCTCAGCTCCTGGTGTCCCCCACCACGGCTGCCCTTTCACTTTGCTTGGGGGCTGCTGACTTCTGTCTCTCAATGGGATACGCAGCCCAGAAATTGAGGGTGCCAAGTTGAGGGTGCTGAGCCAGGAGGACCCCACAGAGCCATCTCCCTTCCTAGCTCCAGGCCTCAAGAACAGCAGCACCAGTTGAACATCCTGACAGCCATTTCTCCCAAGCAGTCTCCATCTGAATGCATCCTTCCTGCATGCAGTCACAGCCTCTTTCCCGACCCCATGTCCCTTCAGTGCCATTTCTCACCCCACTGCAGGCACGCGGGAGTCTGCTTTCATCCACGCCATCTCTGCCGCCAGCGTTGCCTTTGCCGTGACTCGTGCCTGCAGCCGTGGGGAGCTGCAGAAGTGTGGCTGCGACCGCAAGATCCGAGGAGTCAGCCCCGAAGGTGAAGGAGGAGGCCAGTGGCAGGGAGAGGGTGGCAGAGGAGAAGATACATGGGGGAGACCCTCACCAGGGGAGGAGACACCTGCCTTCTTCACGGACCTCAGCCCTTTGGGAGCTCCTCCCAGGGCTTCTCCTTCTTCATCTCATGGCTGCTTTCCCTCTGCAGGTTTCCAATGGTCAGGCTGCTCTGATAACCTGTCTTACGGGATTGCCTTTTCTCAAGCCTTCGTAGACAACCCTGAGAGGAGCCGCGGCATCTCCTCCAGCCGAGCACTCATGAACCTGCACAACAACGAGGCTGGGAGGAAGGTAAGGGCAGGAACAAAGGCTGGGAAGCAAGCCCAGCTTCAGAGGCTTCTCCCTGGCTAGGTGGAGCTCAGTCCAGCCCCCTTGCCCTGAGGAGCAGTTCGGGGCTCCCAGAGGGGGTCTGTGTCCTGCTGCCTTTCCTCAGCCCAGCACTGCGCTGCTCACACCGAGTTGGCTCCTCGCCTGCACAGAGGCGGGTCTCAGCCTCCGCTAGGTGCCTCTGAGCAGAGTCCTTTTCCTCGGTGAGCCCAGCTGTGATTTACCTTCCTTGGCCTTTTCTGCAAAGGAAATGAGTTTCCCCGCTCTGCTCCGAAGGGCTTCCCTGCCCCTCCAGTCCCTCCTGAGCAAAGACACCATCCCCTGCAGGGGCCCCTGTCAGATCTGGTCCCTTGAGCACCCTCTGGCTCTGGGCGGATCTGTTCCCCTCCCCACAGCCCCGTGGGTCAGAGCAGGTCCCTGTCTCTTCCCCTGCCTCAGGGATTTCTCTTACGGACCCAAGCCAGCCTGTTTCCCACAGAGTGGATTCCCTTCTGTTTCATATTGGCTTGGCTTAAAAAGACTTTTTTGCTCTTTTCCCTT